AGATTAGGTCCAAGCTCTATCTCTTTTAGTGCAAGTTCTGAATATTATTTCAATCAACGTAAAACTATATTAATTCATGTGATAAATAATATTATCGAATATTTATCTCAAATTGCTTATCGGAACACACAAAAATTGTTTATAAAAAATGAATCAAATCAAATCATTAATATTTCAAAACTTTTAACTGAATGGACTCAAAATACCACTGGGGAATTTATATGGGGTAAAGACATCACGAACTATAAAGTTAATATTCTTGGTTCTAATTATAATTCAGAAGAGATGTTGATAATGAAATCATTAAATGAAACCTTTCAAGACTTGTATAAACATTCTAAAAAAATTTGGAATAGAATCTATTTTCCTCTATCAAAATGGCCTATAACAACAGAATCATGCCATCTTTTATATAATATCAAAAACATACATAATAAGATAGAACAAATTATGAGATCTAAATTAGCAAATGAAACAAAATCAATAGCTAAGGATATTTATGTTAAAAATATCAAATTTAATATCCCTATTAATTCTATACGAGATGATTTAATTATTACAACATTATCAGGCTTGAATATAATGAGATTAACAATAATGTCTATTCTTTATCATTTGCTCAATGAAAAAAACAAAAAATGGAGATTTTTGGTTTTAAACGAAATTGAATCTATATTTGAAAAGGAACTAAATTCATCAAAATTTGAATATAAAAAATTATCAGAATGCAAAATATTAAATGCTGTAATATTTGAAGTTTTACGCTATGAATCAGCAAATTCACTACTTAATAACCAATCTATAAATAATTTCGATCTAATTGTTGGTGACAAAATATATAAAATAAAAAAAGAAACATATATCATGTCTAATATATATATTATTCATCATGATGATTCTTCTTGGCCAGATCATGATAAATCGTTAAAAACATTCGATCCATCTAGATTTATTAATAAAAATATCGTAAATTCGAATTTCTTTCTACCTTTTGGTAAAGGTCCTCGATCTTGTCTAGATCAAAAAATAAGCTTATTGATGATTAGAATTTTTATAATAATATTTTTAATTCATAACCCAGAATGTAATTTATCATGTAAACAAGATATTGATACAATGAATTTTACTTTATTGAGTAATGTAAACTTTGATATTATTCATAATTCTAACTAAATAAGAAAGTATAATAAAATTAACTAAATAAAAAAGTAAAATTATATAAATCTATCCCCTAAATATTTAAATTATTAATTATTATTTATATAAATAAAAGATTGATTAATTTATATTTCTTAATTATATTAATTTCAAAATTTGATTTTTGAAATAAATAAAAAAAAATGAATATTAATTATATTCCACCTGAACTGATATTATTTATAATATCTTATATATCTAATAATGATATTAAAAATTTTTTAATAACATGTAAATATATTAAAAATATTGTTTATAATCATTATATTTTTCTAAAATATTATAATCTATTCAAAAAAGAAAAAATAACTGAAGAAAGATATAACAATTGTGAAATTTATTTTAAAAAATTTAAATCATTAAAAGCAAAAAATATTTTTTTCAAAAATGATTTTGATATACCAACTAATGAATTATATACTAGTATCATCTTATCTTCTAATAAAAAAATTTTAAATTTAGAATTAATATTTTTTGAATCAGATGAAATATTAGATAAAATTATATATTTTAATAAAAATAATAAATTTAGTAAAAAATATAATATTATAGAAAAAAAACATTATAAAAATATAAAAAATATTAATTTTTATGATATATTATTTAAATATGGTATTCATAAAAACATATATCTTATAATATTATCATCAAAAAAATTAAATATATCAGGATCACTTAGTACTCGAATTTATTAATCATATTTAATATTTATTATATAAATTAAAAACAAAAATATAGTTAATAAAATAAATAATATAATTTAAAAGTTTATTTATTTTTTTTAATGAACTTTTAAATCATATCAATGAGATATATTAATATCCATAACTACACAAATATTATATAAAGTTTTATATAAACATTCTAAAATATATCTAGCTAATGCACTAGGTTCATTTGATTTTTTATACCACTATGCCTCTCTTAAATATTGAAGGTATACATCTCGTATTTTTACCCCAGAATATAAAGAAAGTGGAACTATAGTATATTTAGAAAGAATATAACTTAAAAGAATTCTAGCTACTTGTCCATTTCCATTCATAAACGGATGTATCAATAAAAATTTTGATAAAAAACATGCTCCATATTTTATCACATCCTCTATTTCTAATTTTCTTTTTTAAATTTTTCTCTTGTTAATTTAAATAATTCATTCATATTTGTTTCGATTAAACCAGGTGACATATATATAAAATTATCCTCTGCAGCCATATTAAGTTTTTTTCTATATTTTCCCATATTCTCAATAATTCCTTTACCTATTTGTTTATGAAGATTGATCGCTAATTCTGGTGTAAATTCATCAATAGATAAATCAGGAAAAAATACCGAAGGAAATGTTTTCTTGATAACATTATCAAGATTTCTAATCTTCCTAGTCATATATCTATCTTTCTCAGATATAAAAATATCAAATAACCAAGAATCTTTCAAGATCGTTTCAAGTTTTTTATAATCAATATTACTTTCGACAGAAACACACTCCAGTAAATATTTTTCTCTATGAAGAGTTGCATACCCATCCCACAAATCTTTATCATTTTTATTAATAACATCTTTTATAAGTTTTTTAAAATATAACGTTTGTTTAATCAAAAACTCATTATCTCGTTCGTCGAATGGTAATTTCCACCATAGTTTATTTAATATAAAGAAATCGGAATTAATCATTTTAATAATAATTCTAATATTTTATCAAATATACAACTATTGGTTTAAATACAATTCAAATTTTATAATCGTAAATATTATTAATAAAATTTTGAATTTCGAAACTTCTTAAAATATTAAATAACCAATAAAATAATGATTACTAATCAAATATAAAACAATAATAAAATTATTACATTATTTAAAACCTAGATTTTAATTGATTAATTTTAAAATTTATTCTACGTATTAGTAATTAAAATCTAGGTTTTAAATAATGTAATAATTTTATTATTGTTTTATATAAACTCTGATTCAATTCTTCAGATAAACTTTTAAATTATCGTTATATTGAATTATTAATTCATATAATATTAGAAAAATTAATCATATAAAAGCTTATAAACTTAATTTATTAAAACTTATTTAAATTTTCTATACATATATTTTAAACGTATACCAACCTATATTTCATAATTTAATCTTAAATCATAAAATAAATATAAATAAACTTGGTAATAAAATATTAATCATGTTCGGGAGATTTATACTCTCCATTATTTTCATAATTATTAAAAATAAAAAAAAAATGATCAATTTCATTCGAAGAACCTTCATAAGTTTCAAAATTATTTTCAGTTTTTATTTCATTTCTATTTAAAACATTATTATGACTTTGCAAATATCTAATTTGATCCATTAAAAAAATATTATATTTTTTCAAATTATCATTATCATCTTTTTCTTTTTGAATCAAAGAATTTTTTAATTCTACTTCTGCTTTTAATAAATTATTATCTCCTTGAAATTTATTAATTTCCGTTTTTAAAATATTGGTTTCAGCTTGAAATTTAAGTTCTATTTTGGTAATATCAGTTTGATATTTATGTTCCATTTTACTAATGTCAGTTTGGAGTTTGATAATATAAGATTCTTTACGATGAATCTCAAGGTTTTGATTTTCCAACTTATTTTCGTTCATATTTAAAGTTGAAATCAATCTAGTATTTTCATTTTGTAGATTCTTTTCTCGAGTAAAAAGTTCACGAATATAAAATTTCAATCTTTCTCTATTATTTGTATCGATTAAAGATTCTAATTCAGTAAAATTCATGTTATCAAAAGAACGAGATGACATTTTTTCAATAACAATCAATTTTTTTTTAAAAGGTTATTTTATTTATATTTAATAAATTACACAAAAACCTACCTTAAAAATTTTTGCAATTATTAATTCAGAAATCAATATCCGACTTTCAAATAACCAATTGAAATTAAACATGTATTATATTCAATTTCAATTGGTTATTCGATAAATTAATTTAAACTCAGATTCTTTATAAAAATCACATGATATTATTTTAACAAAATTCGTTACATTTGTTTTAATAAAAAATTTGAATGTGACGATGTTTAATTTATACGAAATATTATTATGAAAATTGATTTTTACGTATTAAGTAAAGTTATTCTTCTACCTAAAATACTGGTAGTTTCATAGAATGACTTTATTGATTTTCATAATAAAATAATTTTATATTTCTATATTACGATCAATCAAAATTAAATATATTTTTTATAAATTTATAATATAGAAAATTACATTTTATGCGATGTTTAATTATGAAATTTGTTTACTGCGCATTAATTAAAATTTTTATTAGATTAAATTATACATAATTTATTATTTAAATATTTTACTTAATTAATAATTAATTATTTTAACTTTAATCTACAAAACCAATAAATAAACTTTTAATTTTTAACTTTCTTCGGATAAACTCTTAAATCCTTTGTCGC